TTGATGGTTAATAGCTCCACCTCATTGGGTACCCCAGTATTAAGTCCCCAACACCTACATTTTAGACAAAGCAAGATTACATGTCAAAAAGGCAAGCGCATGAACAAATGGCCATGAATGGAGACAACGGTTGAAGATAATACCTGTCAACCAACGCAGTTTTGGCCACTGAGTTGAACTTAGGCAACCCACGATGAACCTAAAAAGAGATGACATCCAGGCCAGCTCTTTGCAGGAAAAGAGTGTACCTGTTGTCATACTACATCTCCAAGAACCCATTGTGGGTTCTAGGACGAAGGAGCGGAAGGTCCTGCATGGAATAAAATATAGTCTCTCGTTACTTCAAGAACACTTGTACACTCACAAAAATTTGAACAAAACATATAGATTATTACCTGCCACTCCGCTATGAGACGTCCTCGGTAGGTCGCCTCGTACGTTGGGTCGAGCAGGTGGAATTGCGCCATCCTACAAAAAAAGTCAATGGATTAGAAATTCAATATACAATGAATTGTGCCAGCCCTTTCATTTGCCTTCTCTAGGTGTGCCTTTGGTTTCGGAGCCCATATCTCTCCATCACTCCGCAACTTCAATGCTTGGGCGTGTCTATCGTTGAACCAGGCAACAAGTTTGTAGAAGGTGAATTGAACAATTGCATTCACGGGCATACCACGTATCCCCAATAGCAACTTATTGAATGACTCCGCCATGTTGTTGCACTAAAACTCGTACCACCATCCACCGGCGTCGTGAGCTTGTGTCCATTTCTCTAAATCCCTCATCAAACCTGTGAGACATTGTCTACCTTCTGCATTTGATGCGGTTCTTACCTGCTCCAACTTTTTCTGAAAGTACTTGTCCTCAAGCTGTCGAGCAGCCTTCTAGAAACAGATCAAAGTTATCCTTCACACCATCCTTCCAGAGTAGATTCTCGACAAGGTGCCGAGTACACCAACGATGGTGCAAAGGTGCATACCCCTCTATCTGCTCTCGCACGGCATTAAGTATGCCCTAGTGCCTATTAGATATGACACCAACCTCCCTGCCAGGCCCAACCACATGTATCCGGACTATCCTCAAGAACCATCCACAACTTTCATTGTTCTCCTTCTCAACCAAAGCAAATGCCAAAGGAACCAACTTGTTGTTCGCATCATGGGATATGGCTATAAGAAGTGTGCCCTGGTATTTGGCAATCAAGAACGTACCATCAATAGAGAAGACGGGACGACAGTGCCTAAAGGCCTCGACACACTGAGGGAAGCACCAGAAAGCATGGAAGAATATCTGCCTCTCATCCTTCCATGCATTTAGTTTTGGGATGTACTCAAAATGCATGCCTGGATTCACCGCTTTGATTGCATTGAAAAGTAATGGCAGCTGCTCATACACATCCTCTCAGTCCCCATATATCATCTTTTACGCTCGCTGCTTAGCCCTCCAAGCTTTACCATAAGTTATCACATAACCTCTATACAACGCCTCAACGGTCCTGATAATTGTCCTAACCTTCATGTTGGGTTCTCCCTGCAATATTTCCATCAACCGCTTGGCAATAAGGGTAGATGTCAACTGCCGATGCTTCAATGTCAGCACATGGTCAGCACAATTGTGTGGCCCGACAACTTTTATGAGCTTCCACTTTTCGATGGCCTTTTGCTTCCTTGCACAAACCCTCCATAGGCAGCGTTCCTTGTCACACACAACTGTGTAACGGCGCTCCACATATAAATGCAAGACCTTGTAAGGTCTCTTTCGTATCCCTGCAAACGCCTGCAACCACCTCTTCAATGCAGGGAGGTCCTTAAATACCCTCATATTCTCAATTACCATGTTAGGGCCGGCCTCAGGAGCTTCTAGGAGCTCATCATCACGTCCTTCTGCACATACCTGATCGAAATGAGCAAGATTGCTGAACTTATGAACGGTGCGGCAGCGGTGACGACTCGGTAGAGAGAAAGAGAGAGGAAAAGAGAAAGGAAGGGAGGGCCCATACGTAAGAGAGGGCTTGGTGCTAGATTGTTGGCTCCAAGCTCGGCGCCAAGATCCACGGCGCCAAGCTGGCTGCCATGTCAGCGTCCACGCCGCCAACGTGGCCCCGAGCTCGGCGCCAGAATGTATGGAGCCGAGACGTGTAAGCTCGGCGCCATCGTCGATGACGCTGAGCTAAGGGTCCAGATTTTGAAATCATACCTTCAATGGCATATTTGTGAATTTTTTTTTAAAAAAGGCTAAAAAATAAAAAAAAATCGATCTGTTTTACCACTCATCTTTGGAACGGTGATTGCCGGAATTGAGAACTCGCCGATACTACTCCTATTTCCGGCAGCTAGGGCATAGGCCCGTCGTAATTTTGGGTCGATCTCTGTCCAATGTAACAATCTAGCTTATAGTACACTGGAAAGAGTCTGAGCTTCCATATAAATCTTTACTGACCTCTGGGGTGTCCACAGACGTGCTGTATTGAACTATTTCTCTATCTAATACAAAGACGTGCAAATTTTTTTCGTGTTCGAGAAATACTACTCCTATTTTAGAACTCGCTGATAGTGATACGGTCGAGGAAATGCTGCAAGAGCCAATGCCATAGGACAGTTACAGTACACAGCAGGAGCATGAAGGGTGAGGTTACGACGGACTTGGACATGGCAAACGACGCCGTGCAAGCGTCTCGACGTCTCTTGTTGGGAATTAAAATTAAAATTCCCCGCTCCGGCTCGGCACCGGCTCTTTTGCTTCGACTCCCAGAAACTGATCCTTGGGCAGTCGGACTACCTCCTCTTGTTGTACTTCCGTTGTAACTTCTAACGATCACCGGAAGCGAAGCGTGCAGGCTAGTTAGTTCTCGTACAAGCATAGCCAATCTCCCTCACAAACATCTCCGCGTGCTCATCATGAACGCATGAATCCTGGGAACAAACCGCGGCGCAACGCAACCAGTCGACGCACAAGCAAAAGCAACACGCACATCGCCATCTGCCTACTGCGGCCTGTCTGTCGATGGCTGTTTCGGCCGCATAAATAAAATTTAACAATTCTGAAACCAAACCATGCACGGGGTCCATTGCGAGCACGAAAATGGTTGCTTTCTTCTCACCCGGGAGAACCCGTAAGCATCCCCGAAAGATAAGTATGTTCAGGTAATCAGGTTCAGGACGTGCCGCCAAAGATGTCCAATCAAACGTTTCCATCTTTTTCCCTAAATAATATCCTTCTTTGTTCGTATTACCGTGTTTTTGTTTTCAGAAAAATGGCACTTTCCAGGTTATCATGGA